ATCTATTCACTGTCCTCAGTGCAAGTTAATCCCGCGGCGATCCCGTCTATCCGGCCAACTAGCGTTAACGCAAAAACTTTTAATTCCACTTGCTGAGCTTGCCCTAGCACACTTTGTACTCGTTCCTCTTGATCATTTTTATTTTACTCTCTACGTACAAAAAATGCTTTTAATTAGGCATGTACAAGCAGGGCGTTGTTTGTCGAAAAAAACTTCACGTTTTCACGGTTCGGTCGGTGCTTGCTTTGACGCGAAATCGTTTCAAATTACACGCACAGTGCAATTTTATGGACGAATTGGATTTAGAGGATAGCGATCAAAATGTGGAAGAGCTGAACGACGGCAGCTCTTTGGTTCATTATTTTATTTATTAGCGAGGTATTTTATTGTGAATAACTTTTATACAGCCGTTTTTGATATCTTAATTTGGCGTAAGCGTCATCTAAATTGGTCATACTAAGTCGTATAGCAAAACGCATGTGTTCCAAATTTGTTTGGTGTTTTGTTTGACTTGAAGTATACAACTGTCAATAAATAGTTATTGGGTTATTTGCCATACAATATTTAATGCTGCTAGGCTAAGGTGCAATCATCCGTCATCTAGCAAACTCTAGTGTTGATCAAAAAATTATTCAAGGATCGTGCAAGGCGTTTTTTTTTCTCCCATTCCAACAGACCTTGGTATCCTCGCAGTGTAATTATACAGCTCTTAAAAGGAATTCGCTGTTTGTCGCTGAAAAAATCTGAAAGACGCTTCCCCGGCCTCTGCTCTGTTTGTTTTAATTAATTATACAAGCATAATTAAAACTAATTAGTGATGCAGTGTGTCACTCGGGAAAGGTAAGATGGTGAATAGGCGTTGGAACCTACTCTTTTTCCCTTGCTGTTTTCATCTCCTCCTTCCATTCTTACTCTCATATTTATCGCGATACCAGATTGGATTTAGAGGAAGAACAACTCTGTCTCGCTTTTATCATACATTCAAAATGAAGATCATGCAAAGCCATATTCAACCCTGCTCCGCACTATTTTTCTGTTTGGAATAAACAGCATTCTGCCAAAATAACAATAATTACAGAAGTAAAGTCATTTCAATTTCAGTCGCAAATTTACGTTGAAACTAACGTGAGAGCGTGAGCATTCACCATTTTTGACAAAACGATAAAATGTAACACATTCACCATTTTTTAATATTTGTATTACCCGACAAGGTATGTACGAGGTTTGTTCGGAAAATACGTATAAAAAATGGAGGGGTGGCCCGGTGGTTCCCTCTCTCTATGCCAAGTAGGATTTACGTGTGATTGTTCTAAATAACCCTTCTTTTACCTTCCTTCGACGTGAAGCTCTCTATCATCGATGAACAGCGCATACTTATCAAGTTTCTTACAAAACTAGGCAAGAATGATTTCGAGATTTTTGAGTCTTTGGCACAAGTTTAGGGAGACAATTCTCTGAAGGAACCAACCGTCAACCAGTGGTTGAAACGGTTCGGGAAGGCCGAGAACAGATGACCAACGCTCAGAACGCGCCTCCACATAGAATTCTAAGGATAATGTTAAAGACCCCCATTGACAGTTAGAATGATAGCTGAGGACAAACCTCGTATTCATAAACCAGCGAACGTTATTTTTTGATTTTGAGATAAGACAGTATCAATATATTTAATGCATGTGTTCTGACCGCCCTGTAGAACGCACGTTGTCGCCAAATTGCAAATTCGCACAATGCTCGACGGAGTGCGAGTCTTGCCGTGTTGTTATGAAGTTTATTAATATAACAGGGCGAAGGGGTACGAGCGGCGGATCGCGGGTTGTAATTAAGTTCAGATAACATCACCGTTGCATGCATAGGAGAGAGAGCAAGAGGTCTATGAAGGATTACCGGCAGCCAGCACCGCTAGCTATGAGCAGCACTCTGCGGGAGGTCGGTGCAACTTTATGTATGGGAAAATTGGATCCCGCCGCAGCCCGCACAGGCAAATTGACGATTAAATTGAAGCTTGATTGAGAAAACTGTTGCTTGCTCAAGGATTTTCACGCAGGAATCGTCATTAAGATTTTTGAGACCTATCAGGGTCCCACGGGGTGTCCTCGAAGAAAGTAGGTCCCCGAGTAATTTGGCAGCTAGTTGGACAATATATATGAGCAGACGTCATCGCCATTGCCAACGACCAGTTAGGCAAAAATACAATTAATTGTTAATTGGGAAATTGGCCAACTTTTTAGGCCTCTTTTGACGGTAATCTCGAGCTTTCGGCAATTCTCAATGGAGCCTTCCTCAGGAGCTGAAAACACAATTATGATGCTAGCAACCGACACAGGAACGATTTAAATTGTCAAACAACTTACTCGTCGTTGAGGTTGCAGCCAAATGGTGTTGCGGGTGTATTGATTTATAATGTTAACATCTAACGATGGTATCCGTCGTTATCAATAAGCCCAATGTGTCTTTACGGTTGGTTTTATATTTGTAACAAATGCTCTCATCCCCGCGTTAGTTTTGAAACACCATTTGCCTGCAACTTCAACGACGAGTAAGTTGTTTGACAATTTAAATCGTTCCTGTATTGGTTGCTAGCATCATAATTGCGTTTTCAGCTCCTGATGAAGGCTCCATATAGAATTGCCGAAAGCTAGAGATTTCTGTCAAAAGAGTTAGCTAAAGCCTACAAAGTTTGACAATTTCCCAGTTAACAATTAATTGTATATATATATATATATATATATATATATATATTACACCTGCGGAGGTGGGCTCTTGTTGGTGACTTCGTGCGTCATTTTGTCCCTTTCCATCCTCGTTTCCTCAGGTTACATCCGTATGCGGATGTATGGGCATGTGTATCTACTTTTGTAGTTGCATATGTGCTTTTATTTAGGGCTTGATGAAGTCAACAAGCAGAAATACGTATCGCTCGGGTTACCTATCCTATTTTCTGCTCGAATCCACTTTCCTACTTTTTGAGGATTTTGCCCATTATTTTTCTATTTAGCAAGAGCCCCAACATCGAAATTTGATGGCGTTATAGTCCTGGCGATGTCGAAAAGTATAACGACAAACAGAATCAACACCCAGTTAGGGGCGTACTGATGTTATCGAAATAGACAGAAAATTAAATCCTGACCCCAAATATCGAATTCACTCTTTAGACTTTGGTTAACTCTTTTGATAGTAATCTCTAGCTTTCGGCAGTTCTCTATGGAGCCTTCATCAGGAGCTAGCATCATAATTGTGTTTTCAGCTCTTGATGAAGACTCCATATAGAATTGCCGAAAGCTAGAGATTACCGTCAAAAGAGTTAAGCCTAAAAAGTTTGCCAATTTCCCAATTAACAATTAATTGTATATATATACCTGTATAACTTGAGACGTGGTCATTGTCGTCTAGACCAGTTAGGTGAAAATTAAAGCTTCCGCCTTTTGTTGGGTACTTCGACAAAATTTAAGCAAAGAAGTCTCTTTATACTTTATCAATTTCTCTAGCTTTCAATGATCTTTGCCATCATCATCAGGAGCTGCAATAACATTGAGAAAAATAGCAACAATTGTGCAAAATTAATTTTAAATTAACTTACGTATGTGAGAATGTCGCTAAATGTTATTTACGTTTATGTTGAGGGACACACCCAGTAATCGTCAAAATTATTTAAAATTCTTTTTGCACAATTGTTGCTATTTTTCTCAATGTTATTGCAGCTCCTTATGATGATGGCAAAGACCATTGAAAGCTAGAGATATTAATAATGTGTAAAGGGTCCTCTTTGCTTAAATTTTGTCGAAGTACCCAACACATTTAACACATATAAATATATCACAATGGTAGCTGATATGCACGGGTAACTTGACCAAAACGTTAGTCCTTGCAAAAGATAAATCAAAAGTGATATAATTGCGCGAAGAAAATGGAAGTAAATTAATTTTAATTTGGCCTAGGATATATGGGGAGGCAATCATGCCATGTAATAGTTTGAAAGGAAATATTGCAGGAAGAAACCTTTCTCTGAAACCTAAGCTTTGAAATTCAAAATGCTCACACAGCTCTGCATGGCTAACTCCTTGCTCAGGGTAAACTGCCTTAGACTTCATATAAATAAATTTTTGGGAACCTTTATATAGATTTGGTAATACGAGCTCCATATAACTGGTATTTTCAAGTTTGCTATGCTATCTCGCGAAACTGCCTACAATTACTGATAAGGAAACTGTATCACTTAAGCGCTTCTGAAACTTTGTGAGAAACATGGGGAGCAAATGTTAATCTATAGTCATAAAATAAAGAACACCTAAACCTTTGATTGTATCACACCTATCCAACCACACACCATCAATATTATAGTCTTAAATTGGTATTTAGATTCCCAATACTATTCCACTCTATCTGTCAATCTTGAATATCCTTTATAAACGAATATATTTTCATGTCGTCAATTGCATACATTTCGAATTTTCACAGAGGTCATTAATAAGCAATGGAGATAAAAGTGGTCAAAAGTTAGACCCCTGGGGAACACCGGATGGAGCTGAGTAGGTGTTATCACGTATATCACGGGCTTAGCTAAGCCTAGTTTAAGCTTCCACGATGCATAGCTTACAATATTAAGATAAGATTAATTATTAAGACACGGTTGCGTAAGCGAAAACGGTGCATACAAGCTAACTTTTCCCTCAAAATTCCCGGACTATTGCCAACTCCCGTTTATCGCACTATTCAACACATTCGAAATTTCCATGTACCTCGCTTCCAAACTCGTAGAGCTAGTTCTCTATCGGATTCGACAGTCATGTTTCGCCGTGTCTCATATATTTTATAGAGTATAGAGTTCAGTTACATTACACTACCTGTCAGCCGTAGAGTCGTATCTCCGTTGCAATGTTACCTCCTTTCTGCACACGCCGATATAAACTCACAACTTTATGAAGTTTATCAACTTCTGTCTGCCGCCTGTTCCGTTCGTTCTTGAACTACTTCTCCGTTGTTAATAATATTTCAATTTCCAGGTGGAAAGGAGCTCTAAGGTGTGCAGCACAGGGTAGAAACCAGGAAATGAAAATGTAGTTTTGATACCTCAAGCATCGTAGAGGAAAAATTACTCAAGGTCCGAGTGGAGGAACATGTACAAGATAACTACGAGTGTTGTTCCCACATTTTTTCAGGCACAAGGATTTGTTTATTTGACAAAACGAATATAAAGGTTACAATAAACTAGTAAAAATTAGTAGTAAGACATCAGGAAAAAAATACGGTGCACCCCAGGGTTCAGTACTTGGGCCGATTTGAATCCTGATATACATCAATGATTTGCCGAATCACTAAGATGAAAACTATATATTATTTAGATCTAAGAATATTTGAGCTTTCACTGCAAATCAGATGCTTAAATTTAAATGCTTTTAAGCAGACAATCAGTAGTTTCGTTGCTGAAAATGCTTTTTCTTCATACCCAGAGTTCTTGGATTTTGAATTTCGATGTGCTTTATCTGTTATTGCTTTTTAGATTGTTTTTATTATTTTACTGTACTTTTTATACCTACATTTAAATTGTGACGTTTCACATAATTCTCTGTGTACACTATTAAGTTTTGTTACAGAGAGACGTGTGTAAGTACTGTGTGCCAATAAAGATAGATATATATATATATATATATATATATATATATAGGTGAAAAATTAAAGCTTCCGCCTTTTGTTGGGTACTTCGACAAAATTTAAGCAAAGAGGACTCTTTATACTTTTTTTAATTCTCTCTAGCTTTCAATGGACTTTGCCATCATCATCAGGAGTTGCAATTACAATGATAACAGTAGCAACAAAAGTGTAAAATGAATTTAAATTGAATCAACTTACAGTAGTATGTGAGGATGTTGCTAATTGTTGTTTTCGTATAGGATGAGGGAAACGTCCAGTAACATGGTGAGAGCTGGATACATGGTACAATGGTTAAAATTATATAAAATATGACAAGACAAGTTAAAGACAGATTAAAAATTATTTAGAAAATATTAGAGCATTACGTCGTGAAGCCACTTGATGATTGTACAAAATGGTGGTCATGGAATAATGAGTGAGATGAACCTTTGACAGAAGGCCGAAGGTTGTCAATGTCTGTGTTAAAAGATGGAACGAATTGTGGGCGTGTGCCAAAACGTTGCCAAATCACTTCAGATGATGTGATTTTCAGAATCTTATGTAAGAAAAAATCACATCATCTGAAGTGATTTGGCAACGTTTTGGCACACGCCCACAATTCGTTCCATCTTTTAACACAGACATTGACAACCTTCGGCCTTCTGTCAAAGGTTCATCTCACTCTTTATTCCATGACCACCATTTTGTACAATCATCAAGTGGCTTCACGACGTAATGCTCTAATATTTTCTAAATAATTTTTAATCCGTCTTTAACTTGTCTTGTAATATTTTATATAATTTTAACCATTGTACCATCTATCCAGCTCTCACCATGTTACTGGACGTTTCCCTCATCCTATACGAAAACAACAGTTAGCAACATCCTCACATACTACTGTAAGTTGAGTCAATTTAAATTCATTTTACACTTTTGTTGCTACTGTTATCATTGTAATTGCAGCTCCTGACGATGATGGCAAAGTCCATTGAAAGCTAGAGAGAACTAAAAAATATAAAGAGTCCTCTTTGCTTAAATTTTGTCGAAGTACCCAACAAAAGGTGGAAGCTTTAATTTTTCACCTATATATATACAGGGTGGCCAAACACGTGACGTCATAAAAAAAAAATTAGATTCCCCACATCGAGAGGAACCCAAATCACCCCCATATATATGGTCCGATTTTGTTTAGTTTAGGAGTTATGATTTTTTTTCGGATTTTTCGAGAATTTTTGAGTTCTGTGTTTATTTTTACCATAACTTCGTTAATAATTGTGATAAATGCCTGCTTTTTTCACGATTATGTAGCTAAGACCTAAGGCTTAACTATCATATAATCATTCAAGTCATGTAACTAATACTACTTTTTAATTTTTTTCAAAATCTTCGAACATAACAAAAAAGTAAAAAAGTGCAACAACTTTGAACGTTTATAAAAAATTGAAAAAACATGTTCTTACTATTTGTAAGTATCTTAAAAACTTCCTTACGGTATCAGCTATTTACCGTAAAAATTTCATCAACCTAGCTTTACTACATGCTACCGTAATTGTGGCTCAAATAGAACCGAACCCAAAATTGGATAACCCTCTGCTCAATAGAAATTGTTAGTTTCGGAAAAAAAATTTGCAAAAACCACAAAAACACGTTTGATTTTTACTGAACAGCAGATTATTATTCATTTATGTTATTTACAAGAGGTTTTCAAAATGTCTGCCTCTAACAGAAATGCACAGTGTACACCTACGTATGAAATTTTGTTTTAAATCTCTAAATGCTTGTGTGTTGTTTTTCAACACATGTGTCGCTTCTTGAATTTTGTTCCTCAATGAATTTTCATTTGCACATTCTTGGGCGAATGTTATGTCTTTAAAATATCCCCAAACAAAAAAATCAATGGGGTTGAGGTCAGGGGAGCGTGGAGGCCATCGTATCGGTCCGTTTCGTCCGATCCATCTGTCTGGGAACCTTTCGTTTAAGTAGTTTCGCACGATCGTTGCGTTGTGGCATGGTGCACCATCATTCTGGAATACCATGTTCCGTCTGGCTTCCAGGCTTGAATCTTCCAGCAATAATGGTAGGCTATTTTCAAGGAAGCTTTTGTAGGCTATCGAATCCAACCTTGACGGCAGTTCAAATGGACCGATAAATTCCATATTGAATATTCCTGAC